CATTCTGGGCAAACCACCCATAGAAAATGCAGCTCTGTCTCCATATATAAAATCCCAGAAAAGTCAGAATAGCTGGGCTTGAGCCTCATATCATCACTGGAGATCATGGCAGCCCCTTTAGAACCACAAAGAGTCAGGTAAGAGCAGTGGCCATGGGAAGAATAGGTCCTAGCAGGAAAATAAGGGACCAATAGATGGTAAAAAGCTAAATGAGAGAGAGCTGTGCACTAAGACTCTGAGCTAAAGCCTCTACAATTAAATCAATCTCAAACAGCATTTAGTGACATAAATAATGTAGATAAAATTATATATTATAGGAAAATTCTTTGAGTTAGCAAGTTTATTTTTATAGATGTCAAATATTTTGGCTTCCTAAGGAATTCTTTATCTGGTATCCTATAAATACTTTATTTCGGGAATTATGTATAGAACATGACTCAAAATTGGGGGAAATAACAGCTTACCTTAATGACGAGGAAAAAGCAAGTAACAGATGATGCTTTCCTGAAATTTCCTATTGTATTCACCTAGTTACAATGGCGCAATGGCAAAATATGCCAGGGAATTACTTCTCAACAAAATTCTATTAATGAACATTATTAGAAAGTGCACTCTTCTGTTCCCCAGGTATATTTAGGCCTTCTCATCCTCCCTTCCTATTCAACATCTCTCTCATACTTTCCTTTTCTTTATTTCTCTAGATTACATTCTGCTAACTTCTTTGGCCTTATCGTTCAGCTAATTCTCCCTTGGTTTATAATTTCTGGCTAAACCAGGAGTTTTTCCTTCATTTTCCTTCTTTTTTTTCTGTACCAGTTCAGTATACATCCAAATTAAATACACATATAGATACCAACCATTCATTTTAGGGTATCTAATCTACCATTCTATTATTATCAGACAAGGAAATCTTATCCTATCCTTACTCAACACTTCCCTCTTCTTTCCCCTCCTGAAATTCATTTAGACACCAAGTATTTCATATAATCTAAGAAATTCCCAACCCACCCCCCTCTGCTAATTCAGGCCCTTACCATTTCCTAGACAAGCTGTTAAAGCCTCCCAGCCCAGTTTAATGACCAGTCTCTCCTCACACTAAGGTTTGGAGGTAGTAAGAGCTAGACATCAGTTCCAGACTATCCATTGGGTTCCAATCCATCCTAGCAGGCTCTAGTTTGTCCTTGTTCTCTCCTACTTCATGTCCATCTTCCCTGCCTGACAATCAACCCTACAGATTTCAGTAGACAGCACCAAATACAGAAGCAACAATTTTCATAGACTGTTCAGCTTCTATAATTATATATATTATAGCTATATATTCTTCATTAGATCTTGTGTTTTGCATCTCTGATCAAACCTTGACTGATACAGCAGTATCTAGAGATGTGCTCATTATAATCCATCAGATGGATATAACTTAGCTTATTCAAGCAACCCCAAGTCCCCTAGTGATGGACAAATGGGTTGTTTTTAGTCCTTGCCCTTATGAATAGTGCTGTAGTGAACATTAATATTTTTTCAGACTTTTATTAGTCTATCTCTGAAATAGATTCTTAGAGGAAGACTATGGGTCAAAGGGTAAATAATTATTACTGCTATCAGTTCTCTTCCCTCCTTAAAATCTATGACTTCTTCTGGAAACCATACAGGCAACTGTGGCAGATACTGGTAGTTGTTAATATCCATCTCTCATCATTGCATAATAAAATTTTTAGTTGGGCACTAAGCTAAAGACAACTTTTCTCAGCCTCCTTTGTGACTGGGTGTGGCACCGTGATGAAGTTCTGACCAATGGAATATGCACAGATTTAATATGTGCAATTTCCAAGTCATTCTTTAAGAGAAGGAGAATTCTTTTCCCCTCCCTTCCTTCCCCCTTCCTTGTGGCTGAAATGTTTCTGTGAGTTGGGAGCAAAGCAGCCATCTGGGACCAGAAGCTGGAAAGTCACAAAGACAAATGGAGAAACCAGACAGGATTCTGGTGCCTGATATTTATGTGAGAGAGAAATAAATTTCTGTCTTACTTAAGGCCTTACCAAGGGTTTACTGTTAGCCTAAATAATGTATCTAACTTTTTTTAGAATCATCTACCTCATGAATATATCTATGTTTAAGAGGGCATTCCATACATAGATTTTATAAACATTGCATTATACTCAAAAGTTATCTTTACTTACATATGACTATGTTTTGTTTAATTAAGATTACTTAGTAATTAACCTAAATGGGCTGTCATGTAATGAATACAACTCCCGATTATTTTTGCAAAGGATTGTCAGCCTAGTATTTAAAATACATTTGTGAACCTTCCCAGTATGAATTCCTTTAAAAAACTCTAAACGTAAGGGTTCATACCTTTGGTCTACGCTATTTTAACTATTCCCAAATGTATGCTGAAAATTCAAAAAGAATGTAAGAATAACAGTCAACCTATTAAATTATTATTTATGGATATTAAAAGTCTTCCCATTGCCACCACTTCTAAGTGGCCTCTGTGATAAACCTACAGTATCTTCTTTCATTGCTCTATCTGATTCTGTTAATACAGAAATGTCTTCTACAAATAATCTCAGATTACTGAACCAAAAATGCTCCGTTCCTTTTTATATCATTCTGAACAGCGGGGAAGTTTGGTGTTTCCTCCAGCAGCGTGAAGCAGACCGGAGAGATGAGCAGAGCTAGGAAGAGCCGCTGCATGGAGGGCAATGAAGAACCAGAGGCAGAACAGGCAGCGCACCTCCCCTCCCCATCCCTTCCAATAATATGGTCAACTGGAAGATACCGATAGAACCAGAAGGTAAGTCTAAGAAAACCATAGGTTAGGAGCGTCCTGAATTCTAAGAACCGAGAATCAAATAAGATAAATAGAGACAGGCAGCATCAGTTACTGTTTCAGAACTGATATGAAGCACTGGTTCTCAAAATTTAGTTGGAGTCAGAGTCACCAGGAGGGCTGCTAAGAGACAGCTGAGCCTCACTCCCGGGGGTCCTAATTCAGCAGGTCATGAAGCGAGGCCTGACAATGTGCATTTCTAATAAGCTCCCAGGAGGCTTAGGCTGCTGGCCCAGGGATCAACTCTAGAGAACACAGATATGAAAGTTTTGGTGGCTCGCTCTTTTTTCCTAGACTACTTTCTTCTGCAGAGAAACTCTCTCACTGTGAAAGAACCTATTTTGCTCTTTACTGAGCCCCTGGAGGTCAAGAAAAGATTCAGAGTTAAAGTCCATGAAATGGCACATAATCATTGGGAAACTTCTGAAAAACCTTTGAGCCCCATTCCTCATCAGTGTTTTTCATAATCTCTCCCAGTGCCAAGGCTACAACAAATTTCTCAAGTTCATTCTCTTAGCAGGAATCCTGTAACATTACACATTTCCTTTACCAATCTTGATTTCCAAATTTGCAGCAAAATGAATATTACTTTTCTAAGTTTCTTATTCACTCTCCATTTATTAAATATGTACTGAAAAAAATCTGCATTAATTGATAAGCTTGCACAGTTAGTTGGCCTTACAAATATAATATCCATAGGGGATCTAAAGTAATTAGCAATCAAATAGCTACTCAGTGTACACCTTCCGTGTTTTCCTATTCACCTCAAGACTTTAAATTCTTATGTTATTTTTAATTCCATAATGAGATATAAATCACAACAGAGTTCCTAAAAAATGTAAAGATTCCATTTAAAATATGTTTAACTTAAGAGCACTGGAACTCTGAAAATTTTCCAATGGAAGTATAAAATGGTATAACTGCTTTGAAAAACTCTTCAGTAAATTCTTACCAAGTTAAATCAACATCTACCCTATGAAATGCCAATTCCATTCCTGGATGTTTATTACTCAAAAGAAAGGAAAGAGTATGTTCACAAAGCACCTATTCAAGAATGTCCCTAGCAACCTTGTACAAGATAGGCAAAACTGAAAACAGTGATGGACATTTATTCATCAACAGGAGACTGGATAAATCGTGATTATAGTCATACAGCAGAAATACTACTCAGCAATGAAAAAGGCATAAACTGTTGATAAGCAACAATGTGAATGAATCTCAAAACATGAGGTTGAGCAAAGGAGGCAAACACAAAAGAATACATATGGTATGATTGATTTCTATGAAGCCCTAACACATGTGCAACTAATCTCTGGGGACAGAATCAGAAAGTGGCTAAGTTTGGGGTAGAGAAAATAGATTGGCAGGGAAGAGGCAGAAGAAGCTTCCTGGAGTGATGAAATTGTTCTAGATTTTGTTTTTCACAGTCTTTACCTGGATGTGTAAGACTGTCAAAAAAAATCTATCAAACTGAACACTGAATATCTGTGCCATTTACTGTATGTAAATCATGTCAATAAAAAATGATAAGCTTAACTATTCAAGAAAAAGAATGATTTACCAAAGCAATGTTCTTTATATTCAAAATAAAATATACGTCAGACAGAATAGCTTGATATTTAAAATTTCCATTATAGGTAATAAATAAGCAGTCACAGATGAAGGTTGCAGAATTATGATTCTGAGCTCAAGGTAGGGTGACTGAACATCTCAGTTTGCCTTTTAGACAATCAGTCTAGTGTTGGCCTAAAGCTATAGCACTGATAGTGCCCCCTTTGCTATCAAATGTATCCTGATTTAGAGGAAGACCCATAGCTAAAAGGACATTTGATATTATTTGGTACAATGCACTCATTCACTTTGCCATTCAACCTACATTTCCTAAGCATCTACTATGTGGCTAAACATAGTCTCTATGTTCTTGCTACCATTTCACATTGCTCCTTTGTTTCCACAATCAGAACCTAAAACAGCTAGATGGATTTTTCCCTAAAGTAAGCATAAAATAAACAGCGAAAGACAAAATATAGAAGAAAGCAATCAGAATTTTCTATAAACAAGGAAAATACAAATCAAGCTTTTAAAAAAAAAGGTTACAATTCTTTGGAGCTGTGTGAAACAAAATGCATAAAGACAGTCACAAATATAAAATAAAGGAAACCTTTACCTGCTGCCCTGTAAAGTATTTTAGGTTCAAAAAATATACAAGGATTTTTATCCTCTATGCATGACAAAAGAAGTCCCTTGGCCTGGAAAGGGCTTCTGGGTACAACCACCTGCAAAAACAGATTTTTTTTTTTTTTAAAGACCATTTCAGTACAAAATGTAGCCCAGTAAACTCACTTATAAGAAGGGTTGATATTTCAGTAACTAATTGTTACTAATTGCAGGGATCTTGTATTTTTAGCTTAATTACCATTATAAATGTTACATATTGTCCTATCCCAAAAAAATTCCATTGTTAAACAAGTATTTATCACATGTCCATCATAGTCCGGTAGCTAAGATACTGTTCTCTTAAAAAGCTAAACTTGCATATGTATACTAAAAGGAATCTGCAAGAAGCAAAGTTGTCGATATCTTCCTATATTCACCTATAAAAAAAACTTTTCCACTAATACTCTACTGCTACTTTCAAAGGGCATGCAATTCTTCTCCAATTTTAATATACCAAAATCTCCTCCTTTCCCATGAAACACAGGGTCTTCATTTCCTAAGTGGAAAATAATCCGCTGAACTTTACGATCTGGGCACTGTAATGTCTGGTTATTGCAAAGCTGAAAGGAAAGTGTGGATACTGCCCACTTCCTCTTGAGAAGGCCTTTGAGAAGGAGGAAGATGATCACAGAAGGTGGCACAAGTGTTAACTGGGCCAAGCACTCTATGTGGATCTACTGTTCACAGCAACCCATACTATTATTATTTTCCCCAATTTAGAAAGAGACACAAAGGATTAAAAGAGAGATCAAATAATTTGTCCAAAGTCACATTGATTGCTTGACCAGGGATTCTTCTACAGTTCTGACACCAGACCCTAAGCTCTAACTACACCATTTTGCCTCAAATCACAAGCTTATGTCTAGTTTTTAATGACTGTTAAATAACTGCATAAATACCAGTGAATACCAGTGTTACATGGGAAGAGTTATTAAAATAAATCTGAGTTTATCTCAAAGACTCAAATAAGATTCCTTGAAACAAACTACATTTGGCTTTCAAAATCAATTTGACACCATCCTAAAACTTTAGGATTCTTATTTAAAAAATAGCACAAATCTCACTCTTTTCTGTAAAAACAGACTGCTGAACACATCGCTTACCATACTATACAATGTCTTTAGGTTCCTACTTTAGTTTCTCTTCATCTCCTTTCCTCATGTATTTTTAGCATTTTGTACTATTTTCATTTGGGATTAAAAAGAGGGCAAGGGGCAAGTGGAGAAAGTTAGGAGATTGTGGAAAAAAAAATCTCTTCTTAAAAATTCTGGGTAAGATCATAAACTTTAAATGTGAATCAGTGTTCAGCTCAAGCACAAAAATAAGTATTGTTTCAAATGTGGCTTCTGTCCCAACCTACCACTTCCAGCTTACATTGAAAAATTATGCAACCCCTACTCAACTAAAAAAAAAAAAAAAAATTATGACTGCTCTGGTAGAAAAAATAAAAATAAAATACATGTGTTTACAACCAGTTCATGTTATCAAACACACATACATCACTGGGTGGACATAGGAGTTTCCATCACGATGCCCTAGAAAGCTCTTCAGTAAATAGAAATAGAAAAGATAATGTAAAAAATTAACATAAAATATGCAAAAAAAAGCCACTTTTTTTTTAAATCAAAAGACCTAAACTATTGTGAAAGGCGTAAGATTATTATGGAAGGCTTTGAAAGACAGATGCTTCAAAATTGTTTGATTGAGTATTACCTTACCTGGAAAACACATCTGGATTTCAAGGGTTTCTCTTAGACTGAAGCTAAAGTCCTATCCCTCTGACTTTGAGGTAAATATGTATTAAACAGTAGATTTATTAAAATTAACCCAGAATCGGTTAAGTGAGAAAGCCCCATTAGAAAGAAACAGAGCTTTGAAAGAGGGGGAAGTTAAACCAACTATGTTCTCTATCTCATCCTTTGAAGTTGGTGAAATTAATGTCAGGGTTAAGCCAGTGCTACTTCAACAAGAATATTCTATAAACCTGGGAACTGGAGAGCTGATCTAAAATAAATACTCTCTTTCTAAAAAAAACCAATTAAATTCACATAAATTCCATAAATCCTGTTTGCTTTCCTCTAGATAATCATATCAGTTAACAGAACAAACCAAAATGGAAATATCCAACAGAGAACAAATAAAGTACATAAATGAGGATACCTTGATTCCTGGGCAGTGAGCAAAAAAAGCTTCAGGACTCTGAGAATGATAAAGAGCCCCATGGCCGACACAGCCCCAAGGGGCCCGGATAGTGAGGCTTCCACAATTAAAAAGATCCCCAGAGCGATAGCGGTACTTGGCAGCTTCATTAACAATCTTGGAAGGGGAGAAGAAGGACAGGTCACAAGGAGTCCTTTATTTCCATCCCTTTCCTTAACCATTTTATTAGATCTTTAAATATATGCACATAACAAAATAACTCCTAATGCATTAGCTCAAAGACGACCTAAAAATCCCCAAGATCAGAGGTGGGAGAGTGGAGGCAAAACTCCCAACACTTCATGGACTTAATCTAAGAAATGTTTAATTAGAGGGGTGCCTGGGTGGCCCAGTCAGTTAAGTGTCTGCCTTCGGCTCAGGTCATGACCCCAGGATCATCCCTGCTCAGTGGCGAGCCTGCCTCTCCCTCTCCCTCTGCCCCTCCCCCTGCTCATGCTCTCACTCACTCTCATAAATAAATAAAATCTTTAAAAAAAAAAAAAGAAAAAGAAATGTTCAATTACAGTAAAATGAAACCTTCTTACCTGATCGAAAGCAGGGAAAATATAATCTGCAAACTGAATTTCTGCAATAGCGGTCGCTCCAGTGACTGCGATCCCAATTCCAAACCCAACGATTCCTTGTTCACACAATGGCGTGTTGAAAACTCTATCTTTTCCTAAAAAAAAGAAAAAATAGTCCTTATATGACAAATGGGAGTGATGTAATACACAGCACAACCAAAAACTCAGGGAGTTAATGGTGATGGAGAAAAACAGCATAGAAGAGGTGAAGGAAATAGAAGATAACTAGTATGAGGGCTGGTTTAAATACAAACATAATAATTATATTAACTGTAAGTAATCTTAGCGTTTCAACTGAAAGAAAGGTTGTCCCTCTGGGATAAAAGAAAGCAAAACCCAACTACCTAAAAGAAAACACTGAGACAATAAAGATAACAGAAGACTCAAAAGTAAAAGGAAAGAAAACAAACAATGAAAACCCTAACCAAAACAAGGTGTCACCACAGGATTAGTGGACAAAGTAGACTTTAGGGGAAAAGGCATTACCAGAGATAAAGCAGGAAAATTCATAGTTTTAAAGGGTACAATTCAAAGGGAGGACATAATTCTAAATTTACACTCATGGAACACAGGCTCCAAAGAAATTAGAAAAATTAACAGAGGGTCGCCTGGGTGGCTCAGTCGGTTAAGCGGCTGCCTTCGGCGTGGGTCTTGATCCCAGGGTCCTGGGACCGAGCCCTACATGAGGCTCCTTGCTCAGGAGCCTGCTTCTCCCTCTCTCTCCCTCTGCTTGTGCTCTCTCTGTCAAATAAATAAAATCTTTAAAAAAAAAAAAAGGAAAAAAAAATTAACAGAATTAAAAGGAAAAAAGGATAAATTCCCAATATGGTGGGAGATATTAATATACCAATCTCAGTAACTGACAGAAAAAGCATACCAAAATAAAAAGGCAGGACTAGAGAAGATTGGTATATGATTAGCAAATACAACCTAACTGACAAGCAGAGGACACTGCACCCAACAGCCAAGAATACAAACCCTTTTCAAGGAAGCAGAACATGGACATTCACTGACCACAGACTGGGCTATACATCCAATCTCAACATATTCTGAAGGATTAAAATCATAACAGGGTGTATTCCCTGACCACGATGGAACTAAGCTAGAAGCCAATAACAGAAAGAGAGTTAGAAAATCCTAAATTAGAAAAAAATTTTAAATATGTCTAAATATCCACGGCTCAAGGAAGAAATTATAAGGAAATTATAAAATATTTTGAACTGAATGACAATGAAAATTATGTATCAATATGTTGAGGTTACCAATTTAGTAAGGAGTCGAGTAGCTTTTTACAGACTAACCCGCCCATATCTATTATCAACTCTGGACACAATATAACAAATAACTGACTTAAAGGCATTGGAGAGCCAAAAAGCGCGCCTAACCCAAAGGGGGCTTGACCCTTGAAAGAAAGGAAGGGCAGTGGATAAAAATAACATTTATAAGTCTTGTCCCCTGAGGGGGCTTCTCCACTCTCTGTGACAAGGGACTGCTAGGATTCAAACAAGACAGACTCAGTCTTTATTAGCTTGGTGGTGAGAGAATGAGAGAATGGGGTTCAGGGCTGCCAGTGGCTAGACACTGAGGAACGAAGCCCCTAAAAGAAGAACAACACATAGGGGCACCCCAAAGTCTGTGCATAAACTGTTCAAATCTTTGGCTGACCTCTATGGCTGTAGGAGACTCAGAGAACCCAGCAGATGGCAGCTGGAAGCCCAAAGAGCTGAGCAGAGATTTCAGCTCTACCCACTAAGGAAAAGACAGAATTTGGAGTTTGAGACTCTTCAAATTAAAAGTGCTTGATAAACACCTCAGGCTTTGCACTGGAACAAGGTGCATGTTACTAGTGTTCAATTCTCATTTGAAATTTCACCACCCGTCAGCCAATATCAGCATTTCCTGAAAAATCCCAATTTTGGGGTGCTGGAGAGACGCAAATAATGACCCCAGTCTGGCCAGGTGACCAAAAGTCTGTGGACAGATCGGAGATGCATATTTCAGTCCCATGATTGAGGGACACCGGTTCTTCTTGGTGCACAGAATCCACTCTCAGCTCAATCATTCCTTTTGAATATGGACCACAAATAGGGCAGGTGCTGGGAAACACCAGCCAGACACAACCTGTTGTCTGCACTCTACAAGCAGGTGCAAAAACTTAAAACCATGATTCATACTCATCACCATCTGTGACTATCTTCTGAAATTGTGACCTCTATCACTCATCAGTTCCCTATTTGACTGCGAATAGCTTGATAAGTTCTGAAAATCTAGGGCTCCACTGAACTAAGAACAATTCATTAGTAGAAAATGAACAAAGATTCTAGCCGCCTCCTGTGGAATCCACATCCCTGGAATGCCTGAGCCACCTTAACCAGGTAAGCAGTGTTCTTACTTAGTCCCTGCCACTTCAAGTTCCCTGGATTCAGGTATTTGCCATCTCAGTAGATAACAGCCTTTTATTTTTTTTCTAAAGACTTTATCTACTCATTTGAGAGAGAGCAAGAGAGAGAACACAGAGGGAGAGAGAGAAGTAGACTCCCCACTGAACAGAGAGCCCGATGCGGGGTTCGATCCCAGGACCCTGAGATCATGACCCAATCCGAAGGCAGACGCTCAACTGACTGAACCACCCAGGCGCCCCTAAATACAGCCTTTTTTGCTGCTAGAAGACAGAAAAGTTGAGTTTCTCAGAACTGTTACTCAAACTCACGCCTGGTCTGAGGAAACAGCTTAATTTAACAACTCTCTCCAACAAGCTGCAGTGACATGAACCGTATGTTAAAAATCTGTTTCTATTTTCTCCCCAAAAGGTAATGATGTGGATAAGAACACACATAAATTGCATGATAATGATGACTTCCTCTATGTATAATGCCATTAACCTGATATAAAGTTCGTACACACAGTATCCCAATGAGTAAATTAACACATACAGTGATTGTGTCATGAGGTAAGACAGATCTGGTTTTCAGTGCTATCTCCACAAATTACTAAACTCCCTCAATTTATCATCTGTAACAAAAGAATCATGATACTAAAAAGAGTAAAAAAATTACAAGCAGGAGGCCTACTGTGATTTTAAATAGGAGGGTCAAGAAGACCTCAGTGAGAGATGACATATACAGAAAGAGTTGAAGGAAGTGAGAAAGTGCACTGTGCATATATCTGAGGGAGTAAGTGTTCCAGGCAGAGAGATCGGCAAGTGCAAAGGTCCTGGGGTATGGGGCATTTCTTATTACATCAGAGGAAAGGTAAGAAGTCCAGAATGCCTGGTCTGGAGTAAAAGAAATAGTGGTAGGAGATAAAGCTGAAGAGTTGAGAAGGTAGGATGGGGAGGTGGCACAGATCAGACAGGGCCTTGTAGGTCACTATCAGCTCTCTTTTACTATGACAATGAGTGAGTCAACAAGTAGGTAAGGGATAGAGGAAGCCACTGAGCAAAATCATGCCTTCTCTCAACTATATTCCATCTCTCTAGCTGGTATTTGGTGAATAGCCTCTAGCCAGGCAAGGGGGACATGGCAAGTCTGATTACAGGATACTGCAACAATACCAGTAAGAGATGATGACACCTAATTGCAGAAAAGGTGTGAGACTCTGGATATAGTCTAAATATAGAGTCAAAAAGATTTGCTGATAAAATGGATACGGAGCATGAGTCAGAGAAAAATGCCAAGGATGACTCTGCCAAGGATGACTCAAAGGCTTCTGGCCCACGCAAGCCAAAGGAGAAAGTTGCCCTTAACTAAGGAAGGGCGAACTATGAAGCATGCTGGGATGAAACACCAGGAGTTCAGTTATGGAGAGGTTACATTTGAGATGCCTTCAGATGTTAAGGTAAAGCTCGTAAACAGACTGTTACATACTGGAGTTGAAAGTCTTCAGCATCAAAACAGCACTAAAAAGCACAGGCCTGGATGCAACTGCCAAGCAAATTTATGTGAGAACATAGAGGAAAGATCCAATGTTAAAAAGACAAGCAGTGAGAACTAATATAATCAGCAAAGTCGAAAAGAAAAAAAAAAAAAGCCAGAGTTTGGAGAAAACATAGAAGAACGTGCTGGCCTAGAAGCCTCTTCGAAGAGACTGGAGTAATCAGCTGGTGCTGTATGCTATCAGTTCCACGTGAGGAGGGCTGAGAATTGTATAACAGCTGATCTTGACATTAGCAGTGTCAGCAAAGTAGGAAGGAGGGAAAGAATAAAAGCCTAGATCGAGAGGGAGCGGGGGAAGACAGATCGGAGACAATGAGTAATGATAATTACTGGGAGAGATTTTGCTATAAAGGAGAAAAAAGGAGGAACAACTGGCTGGACAAAAATATGGGATCAATACAGGGAAGTTTTTGGTAAGACCAATAAAAAAGCATATTTGCACGCTGATAAAAATGATCAATAAGAAAGGAAGAAATGGAGGTGCCTGGGTGGCTCAGTCATTAAGTGTCTGCCTTTGGCTATGGTCATGATCCCAGGACCCTGGGATCGAGCCCCACATTGGGCTCCCTGCTCCGCGGGAAGCCTGCTTCTCCCTCTCCCACTCCCCCTGCTTGTGTTCCCTCTCTTGCTGTGTCTCTCTCTGTCAAATAAATAAAATCTTAAAAAAAAAAAAAAAAGGAAGGAAGGAAGGAAGAAATCATTGAGAAAATTAATTAAATGGGGAGACGGAAGAAAACCGGGGTTATGTCTTTGATGGGGAGGACTGGGTCTGGCGTGGAGAGGTTGACAGGAACCCTTGTGTCCAGTCAGAATGCGGGAGAAAGGCATGGGTGGGCACTGACGCGGGTATAGGAGCGTGTGCAGCCGTGAGAGCTTGTCAAAGTTCTCTCTTCACTGCATCTATCTTCTTGGCAAAACACGAAACTAGATTATTGATAAAAACTAAGGATGGAGGCAGCAGTGTTGAGGAGAGAAAAGTATGAAATAGTAATAATGGGAAAATGGAGAAGTGAAGGGACCAGGATCAGGCAGCAGGACGGTATGAGTGGCCCCTGGAGATTACTAGTCTCAGACTAAAAGTGACATCAGTTGCAAGATGACTTTTTTCTCTGGCAACATTCTACATAAGATTGAGGGTTTAGAAAATGGTGTTGGGAAAA